ATTCATAACTGCCAATAAAATGTTGTAAGCTTTAGTTTCAGCTTTCCTCTATTGAATATATTTTATTGGGTGCCATAATAATATTCAAACATCTTGATTTTGAATGACGAACTTCAGTTCCAAATCATCTCTTAACGTAATGGGATAAAGGGATTTATTATCATCCAATCATGGCCTTTCGTATCAGACTGTCTTCTCGAATCAACTGACAGTAACAAAAATGTATCTGTCTCTGTGGCACGCTTCATCCTCGTACAAACATGCCTCCTCGACAGGAGGGTGGCCGGCAATCCAGGTTTCCGCCCAACTGACCTTCACTTAACATTAGGCCCAAAAAAAAACAACAAAGAACAAACACAAGCAAAAATACAGAAAAAAAACAGGAGCAGAGTGAGGAAAGTATGCAAACATTTTCCATGTAATTGGCAATAAGCCATGCCCTAATGCTAGACCAAACACTACGCCCACACACAGCACAGACACAGACAGGCAGATGTTTACACGCCTTTCCACGCGCTGGGAGGGGGGACTGACTGGTGGGTGGGCAACCTGTTGACATCGCACTCACTAATTGCTTCTGACAGTGGCAACAGGTTAGATTTTGTCAGATGAGCTGAACATCCATTTTGTTTAACTCAACTCCACGGCCCCCTCCCACACACTCGACTGCCTTGGGGTTGGTAGCAAGAAGAAACCTGTTCTGCCCATACCCCAATTCTCGATTGATTTACGGCTAGCACAGGAGTGGCACGCCCAACTTCCTGGGTCCAGGTCAACGTCATAGTCATCTGTCATTTTGCATTCTTGTTGTTTACGCACCACGAACGAAAAGGTGTTCAAAACAATCTCCCAACCCCACCCAGCTACACGTATTATTATCATTTTTCGCAACTAATTTACGTAGGTGGAAAACTCTGACAATTTTAAGGTTGCTTGGGAGTTGTTTTTAAGCCAAAGAAAGTCTCGCTGCATTATGATAATTATGTCTACGTACACATGGTTTAACTCGATAAATTATTTACTAAATTATTACCATACAAAAATGATGACAATCCATTTTACATTCAGCCTGAAAGTAGACCTTAAACATTTTTAAAATATTTTATAGAAAATAGCCTAGCACTTCATGAGGATAATGCATGATTAATGGATAGTTGTTGGAGCTTGAATAGTGTACAAATATACCAAAAACACACTTAAATTCAAGTATAAACAGTCACTTTTCCTTCAAATTCACTCATCAAATGTTTGGGCATCGAAAATTAAATTTCAGGAATTTCATTTGGAAGCTAAATCTAATAATAATTAGTTCCAAAAGAGTTTATATTAAAACAAACCATAATTAATGTTATTTTCCACCTTCCAAAATGCATTACCATTACCCTTACCCCATGTAGGAGCATTTCCAACCACTGTGCCCACTGTTTGGCTATTTTGCTAAGTGTTTTCTAAATTCTATTTATGACCGCCAAGACCTCCTCTGCCCCCTGTGGCCTATTACCTGTTCAGCGAACTTGTTCTTCGAGCTTTTGGAAAAGCTTTCCGAGAAAAACAAAATTCCGAAAATAATAAAAACAAAACCGATTCAATCATTGGCAAAAATATTTACCATTCAATTCGTTGCAAAGTGGCAGCTAGTTTTATTTCCATTAATTGACAGATTTCGATCTGACAAATTCCGCAAATTAAGATCTGTGACAAGCCAACCAGTGAAAAAATTGTTGCAAAAGTGAGTGAGAAAATGCATTTGGGAAAACAGCGAGCGATGTGTCCGTGTCAATATTTTGATGTCTGCCTGAAGGGGGAAGCGCTTCCACCCACTGACCCATGTCTGTGGGAGCTGTTGTTCCAACTGTCGAAGAGGGTGTGGACAGATGTGCGATGATGCCACACCAGACACTTGTTTACAGTGCAAAAATTTGCTGTGATCTAATTAAAGCTAAATTAGCAGTCGGCTATATTCGTACATATGTACATACATAAGTACATAGGCTTCTGTGGTCATGTCGATTGCCCCAATTCGACTATAAACAACTCTCGGCTTGGCCCGCATCGGGTAGGGCCACAGAGAGAGCGCGAGAGTCCATTCCCCCTGGATATGAGTGGGTTGTCTGCTCTGCTCTGCTCTGCTCACACTCTCCCTCCCCACCTCTATAACGATGCGATAATACTGTTTGTATCGCTAGTAAACAATTTGGTCAGGTCTGGGTCTGGGCCTCGGTCTAGCTTTCTGTCTGCTTCAGAGCATGCTTCTGAGGCATGTTCTGGTTCCCCCGACTGCGTGATTCACTTGCCGCAGCACGCTTACAACCTGTAATATCGACTATAATCAAGCCATTAAAGACGATTATCAATGGGAGTTTCCTATGTTTAGCAAGTCAATATTTGTCTTTGGAAGTTGGAAGTTTGGAGTTGGTAGACACAGTTGATAGTTGGACAAATGTGTATATTCAATGGAAAATCTTTCTAATTTATTTGCGATAAATGAAACCATAGTCTGAAGATCATCGCTGTAATGCTTATTTATCAACAAAAAGGTTTAAAGCCTGGACCCGTTCTATCTGAAATAAAGATAAAGGAACAAAGTAATCAGAAAAGAGTTTCACACAATTTTTACATTTAATCTTTTGGACTATAAATATATCTTTATTTACTGGAAAATGATCTGCCAAATGAGTTACAGTAATAAAAGCAATAAATAGTAATACAAATAGTTATGTAAATGAATATTTAGTATGTATTACCTTCCATTCAATTTATATATATTTAATTAAATTTTAAATATCACCCAAAAACGAATACAATTATGCATAAAACATCTCATAGAATGGATTACTGCTAAGTTCCCCAATAAAAGTCCTTATAATTTGCAATGCAAACCAATTGTCCGACTATCCTCTAAACTGTATCTCCCCACAACCCCATTACCCATTTGGCACTTATGTCTAAGTATCTCCCCCCTTCACCTCTTTGGAATTTTTGTCTCCATCTCCGTAGCTTTCGCGTGTCGCGCTCATGCTGTGGCTATTATTAGACGCGCTGTTGTCGCCTAATCAATTCCAGTGCATGCAACAAATATTTGTGCCCCAAAATCGCGAGGCCAGATTCGGTTGGGATTAGGAGATGGGTTTAAGAGTGGGTTACCTCCTGCCGACAGACACGCGCATAGTCACGTCAAAGGGATTTGTCGGAGGAGAAGGACAGGGTCGAGGACATAACCAGATTTGCATTCTCATTACCCATTAAAGCGGATTTAAGGGGGGGAAGGAGAGCCCTGGGTTAAAGGCGATTGTATGAAATTAATGCATTTTTGGGATTCTGTTTTTATGAACATCGAAATGAAAATGAAAATGAATGAAAGAGAAGGCAATGCACGCGCCAGCCACGAAGGTAATGCATGATGCATGGAGAACAGAGGACAGATGACACTCTCTCTCTCTCTCTCTCTGCCTTTGTTCCCTGTCCAAACAAACAAAAACAACAACAACAAAAAGAGTGTTTGAGGAAACGAACGGAACATCGCTATATAAAACTGCAGTCGGCAGCGAGGCAACAAGTCAAAACGCATTGAAGATCCATCAGGGGCAGGTGTCTAAAAGCCAAGCCAATAGAATTCATTGATAAAAGGTAAAACTTAAAGAGATAGTTAGCGAAAGAGAGAGAGAGAGAGCGGGAGAGAGCGGGAGAGTGTGACTTTACAGCAAATGCGATTTCTTATCAATAGAGAGAGAGAGAGAAACTATCAGCCGCTTTATAGGCAGGCAACCCCTCACAGTTGTAGCTCAGACATTGAGACAGCAGCAAGCAGATAAGACCACAAAACACGGAACTAATATTCTTCCATTCAAAATTCTAGTGCAAAGCCAAGCAAAAATCATATACCTTTTGGTACTGATCGTCAGCGTAGCCAGAAGTAATCAGGAAGAAATCATCAGAATGCCCGAGAAGAGAGTTGCACCCGTGATCAGCCGCCTGGAGGAGTTTGAGCAGAAGCTGCCTGGGTAAGTCCAAGACATAAATCTGCGCTAATCTGCGATGACCTTGTCCATGTCATGTAACCAGGAAAATTGCTGATAAGAGTATTAATCTCTCTCCTCTCTCCTCTCTCCTCTTTCTGATTTTAGCTACCTGAATAGACACAATAAGTTGGCAATTCTTTTGGATTACGATGGCACTTTGGCGCCCATTGCGGATAACCCCAGCAAGACACAGATGCCCGTGGAACTGGAGAAGACACTCCACAAATTGGCCAAGCATCCGCAAATCTTTCTGGCTGTCATCTCGGGTCGTGGCCTGAAGGATGTGCAGGCTCGCGTGAGCATCGATGGCACCACTTATGCGGGCAATCATGGCCTGGAGATCGAGTATCCAGATGGCTCGAGGCATGACTACGAGCTGCCTGCTGAAATCAAAAAGAACTACACGGACATGGTCAGAGAACTCAAGGAGAAGGTGGAGGTGAATGGCGCCTGGGTGGAGGATAAGCGGGTGTCGCTCACCTATCACTACCGCGACACACCTGTGGAGCTGAAGGACACACAGAAACAGCTGGCCACGGAGATCTGTCTGCGCCATGGGTTCCGGCCAAATCAGGCCCATGAGGCCATTGAGGCTAAGCCTCCAGTCAATTGGAACAAGGGCGAGGCTGCCCTCTACATTCTGAAGCAAAAGTTTGGAGACAATTGGCACAAGGATGTGCGAGTTGTTTTTGCCGGCGATGATACCACCGATGAAGATGCCATGAGGGTGAGTCTTAGTCTCTTTTTGTCAACGAAGCGTTTTCTATTTAGTTTTCTGTCTTTTTCAGGTTCTCCAAGGCTTGGGTCGCTCATTCCGCATTGCCACCGATGAACAGATCCAGACCTTTGCAGACTTTCGATTGCCCAAACAGGCTCTCATGACCGATCTTCTCAAGTGGATAGCCCAAGTTTATGTGTCCTAGAATTTATGGCTTAATTAGTGATATAATAAGTGAGATTTTAATGTATACTCGAGGCAGATTACAAAATAAAGGAAGGGTAGACGATCAACTGGAATTGGAATGTTGTGTGTCTAGCAATCAAGAAACATTTAATAGCCACAAGCTATTGCTAAATAAAATGTGTATAAATCGAATTATTCGGCTCATTTCTTAAATTAGCATAGATAGAGCATAGTTTAGCTGTGAGTCCATTGCCAGGGTAATGAAGGGGTTTCCTTTACATGATAGAAAAATGACAGAAACGTTCACACATCTAGAATGATGACACGAGAAGATTATTTAAGTTAGATTAATGAGAAAAACAAGGAACCACATTTGTATGTAAAAATTGACTCACCAGTTGGATCAACATGTAGAGATTGTCATGTAAGCACAAGCCTCCCGTATGCACAGCCATTTGTATACCTCTACGATCAGTGGAAATGTAAGAGATCAGTATAATATCAGATAGGTTGAAGAACAATTTGAACAAAATAAGTGCCACAAACGTAAGTACCATAAATGAAGAATCGGCTTAGGGCTGAACCAAATCAATTAATAATTTGAAACGTTTATTTATGTATATCGATTCTATATTTATTATGACTAAAACCTAAGCGTTAATCTGAGACAAAGCAACAACAACATCTGCCAAATTGCAGCAGCAGATTGCTGTATAAAAATGTAGAAAATGTTTAAATTATTCAATCCCATCTGCAGCTATTTGTATTAAACATATATTTCGATCTATCATCTACAAAACACCTGCAAGATATCAACTAAGATTTTCGAAGAGAATTTTCCATCAATCGGGATTAAGAACTATAAGAAACTTCTATAAGATATACATTGCGAGATCTAGGTCTTGTTTAATTGATCCGCTGATAAATTTATAGATTCTTTAATCTTATAAGAAACACATTGAAGATCAAAGGAAAGTATTGAGTAGATAGATACTTCTGAGCACATCTTCTATAGAAATGGATTAATAGTAGATACAAAGATAGTTGTTGAAATTAATATATACTGAGTAAATCCACGTTTCCCGATCGCCAACACAAAGTCAACGCGTTCTTCTCTGCCCAATGTGTGTCAACCACTACCCAGAATGATTCCAAAAACACGAACGACCTCAAACAAAGGTGCATCAAAGGCATCGTCACCATATAACCACTCGTTCTGCCTCTCGTTCTGCCCCAAGACTCTGCTCTGTCATTAGAGATTTTTGTGTGTACAGAAGAATCCGTAGAGATCGTGTGTGTATATTCATTCTTTTCAGTTATATATGTAAGAACAGGCCAGCATATACACGAGAAGATCCATTATAGAATGTGTTTTTTTATGCGCATATGCCTCATAAATATTGTGGGAATTACTTGGCCAACGTACGGCTGCCAGGGTTGCCACCACCACTCAGCGAGAGAGAGAGAGAGAGAGAGAGAGAGAAGTTGACGAAGAGAGAGCATGAGAGATGAGATCGGATCGCGGATACTTATAGATCATAAGCGATGTGCGGTTGTTGAGGATCGCTGGTCATTAGTATTATTAAATCGGTCGAGGTACGTCCAGCACGGCGCGCAGTTTCCGGTAGATACAAAACAAAATCGTATAAAGAGTGGCTATAAAATGGCAGAGCAAAAGAAGGCACCGCTCTTGAAGAAGGAGGAGGAGTACGTCAAGGCGCTCGAGGGGTAAGTTCTCCAAAGGATATGCAGCAGGACTGGAATTAAGTATCCATTTTTGTGCACAGTTTTATTGCACCCGAAAAGGATCAGGTTGTCCTGCTGCTGGACTACGATGGCACTCTGGCCCCACTCACCGAGGAGCTGTCCGTGATGCCCAAGGATACAGAGATCAACATCAAGAAATTGGCTGCCAATGAGAAGATCTTCATGGTTGTGTTCTCCGGTCGCGAACTGAGCGAGATCAAGAACCATCTGAAGTTCCCCAATGTCACCTATGCCGGTAACCACGGTCTGGAGGTGGAGTATCCCTCCGGCAAGAAGTTCAAGATTGAAATGCCCGAAGAGCTGCTGGAGAAGCACAACAAACTGGTGGCCGAACTCAAGGAGAAGGTGGGACTTGAAAGCAAGAAAACTGTTCTCAGAATATTAATCAAATATATTCCCATTTTTGCCTTAGGTTGTGTGCTCTGGTGCCTGGGTGGAGGACAAGAAGATCTCCGTCACCTATCACTACAAGGGCGTCACCGATAAGCTGAAGGCCAAGCTCATTGCCGAGGCCAAGGGTCTGATCCAGTCCCATGGCTTCCAGCTGATTGAGACGCCCTATGCCCTGGAGGGCAAGCCACGCGTCAACTGGGACAAAGGTAAGTTTCATTTCTAAATATATTCGATTTGTATCATCAAACCCGTTGAGCAACTGTTGCCATCCATTACGGTGACTGCCAAGGAGCTGTCCCCGTGGCATTCCATTGTCAACCCGTCCACACTTCGGCACCTGCTCGAAACAATTCGATTTTTGACTCTATGCTTCGATGATTTAATTATTGCCAACATTTTTCCCTGTACGTGGGCGTCTTTCAAGAGACGAAAAATATTTTCACGAAACAAAAATCGGACTAAATTAAAATCTCTCACACAAAGATACAAAAATAAATATGTGTCTGTGGATGCCTTTACATATAACGAAATATTCTTCTAGACAAAACATCCCGCAGCCAACTGATGTCAAAAGCACGCCCAAACATATATGTATATTCCCTCATCCTACGAGATATATGTATATCTATATACTGGTATATATAGTCACTCACTCGCCCGATTCCTTATGATAAATTAACAAAACTTTGTGATTTTTCATACACAAAAGTTTTCACTTTCGATTCGAATCTTTGAGTCACAATATTTGAAGGAAAGTTTTCCCTGTTCTACCAGAAAAATGTAAATTCCGTCTAAGTTTGTTGGTGGGGTATGCGTAATTTTAGATGAATGGAACCAAATGGGGGGCGAAACGAATTTGATGTTGATGACGTTTTCAGCTAACTTCAAAAGATACATGTAAATGTGCATAGATATGGATGTAAATGTGGAACAGACTTTGAGAGATGCATTTTTTAAATATACTCCTCACTTTTAGGTTAAAAATACTTGTAGAAACAATTAGGGAAGTCAGCATAGGCGCATTAAAAATGGTTCAAGTGCAAACAAAATATAAAAAGTCTCTTTTTTCCATACCAAACTATTATAAAAATATTCTAAAAATCTATGGAAATATGCAAAATTTATTACCCCTCGCATAATTTACTTTCAATAATATTCAAGCTAGTCTATCTACTATTTACCATGCCAAACTATTTACAATTTATGGCTAAAACCATGTTCAATAATATTCACATTAATAAATATTTTCTATCCCGTTTTTAAATCCTCCTAAAAAATTCAATAAATTCAAATGCATTGCTTAAATTCCACAAGCTAAAATTTGCCACACAAAACAGTAACGAAAAATGTGCATATATTCCACTGGAGATTTATGAGACCCACTTGTCGCCTCTGTCCTCTAACCAAAGTCCCATATCAAAAGCATCTCCCAGGCCAATGAGCCGTGGCGACAAAATACAAGATAAATATATATCTTTGAGACAGATATATATTTCGTGTATGAAATGCGTGAAAATCAAAAATTAATTATGATTGTGTACGCCTCCAAAGGCAATAAATTTCTAACAGGCAGAACCGAAATTGTTGCAAAAAGAAAGAAAGCAAAAAAAAGGCACACGGAAAAAATGTTTATTTTATTTCGCCAAGATAAATTTGTTTCTTCGGACTTGTACAAAAGAGAACTGGGAATTGTTGGTGCCGTCTGAAAAAAAGAGAAAACTGCAACATGGCTATGGGTCTGGGGACTTAAATGATCTACAGACTGCGTCACCAATTAAACAAAAATGTAGCGACAAAATAACATAATTAAAAAAAATAATACCCCCGAGAGAGAAGTACAGACAAATGATCTATATAGATGATACATGTATCTACGACTCCTTACTGTGTACCGAGCGAGCCGCTAAATGATTTCAATTTCATCCTCTTCTCAAACACTCATTTACTTGGCCAAGGCAAACCAACAACCGAAACGAAACCCAGAAGATTCGCCCACGTAGGCGGCTATAAATAAATCCATCCACAGAAAAAAAGAGAGAGAAAAAGAGGCAACTCAGAATGGGGCAGCATTCAGTTCTGTTTCTTGGCGCTGCAGGCGTTTTCTACAATCCAAAATGTGTGTCTAGCAAAACAATTCTTAAAATTTAGAACAATTTTTGTGTTTATGGAACAGTTTTTGGATGATTCCCAGCAGTTCAACACACATTTGCATACCACTCGCTGGGGTTATTGTTTCCATTGTGTTTAGTTTTGGATTCAGATCAGATCAAATGGCGACCAAAAGCTGAGAACAGAATGGAATGAGCTGGAATTTTAAATTATTTATTATACATTTTTGTATGCCAAAATGAAGGTATTCTTATAGATCCCATAGCCTTAATAGATTTTTATTTAATCTGATGGTATTCCCATCTTGGGTAATAATATTTTTGTAAGGGATTTGCTTTTCCCTGTAAATCGAAGAATTAAAGCTCAACTTTAGGAATTCCTCTACACAATTCTCTCCCAAATAAAATCCCTTTTTATAAACCCAAAATCTGTTCTTTACCATTATAGGAGAGGGCGCCAAGATGATTCTGGAGAAGCAGTTCGATGCCGATTGGGCCAAGAACCTGAAGATCATCTATGTGGGCGATGACACCACCGATGAGGATGCCATCAAGGTGCTGCATGGCATTGGCAAGACCTTCCGCGTCTCAGAGCTGCCAACGCTGAAGACCTATGCCAACTATCAGATCAAGACCGTCGAGGAGGTTGGTTGGTTGCTGAAAGCCATCCAGGCCTACTACGAGAAGAAGAAGAAGGTCTAAGAAATTTATCATCGAACAAAAAAGAGGATTAGAGGCATAAGCTAAAATTCCACGCGCTCGCACACTCACACATCACAAACACACACCAACACACACTACAAGAGATGGAGAATGTTCTTAAGGATCGTTTTTATGTGAATGTTGTCTTAAAAGTTCTAACAAAATTATCTTGGAAATGTATCCGATGAAAAATGCTGCACAAGCTCTCCATATCTGATTTGTGTCTTTTCGAATTTGCAAAAATAAAACATAACTACAATATTTTAAACAATTTGTAGGCTCTTATTCTAATGGGAAATCCCTGTTCATGTCTTGGATCCATCCTAAGTCGGCTTAGCGCCGCTCCGCTTTGTGGGAGGCACCACGTCCGCCGCCTCTGCCACCGCGTGTGCCCTGCTTCACCACTGTCTGTGGCGCAGTGGGTGCGGCTGCGACTGCTGTGGCGGGAATGGTAGGCTGCACCACGGCTCCGGGCAGAACCACCGGCACGACGGCAGGAGAGATGCCCGCCGGACCGCCTTTGGCTGGCACGCCCGAGGGACCCACAGCGGGCAGACCGCCCGGCAGTACGACGGGCGACGCCACCAGTGCTGGCTCGGGCCTTTTGGGTTCACTCATGTTGAGATTCTCGTTGAAAATCATGCAGAATTCGCCGATTTTAAAGACTTCGCCATTCTTGCCGGAATAGAGGGTGAGGCAGTGCCGCCAGAGACAGGCATAGCCCTTGGTCAGTCGAATGATGTCCCCGGGAATGATTAGTTTTCCGGGCTCGTCCCAAATGGAGACATTTATGCTGGCCGTGTGGTCGCCCACCTTGAAGTTGCGCACCTCACGGTTCTCCTTCGTGACAGTGGCGGAGCCCACCTCCAGGACTATGAAGATCACATTGATGTTCTTCAGGCCCGGCTTGATGTCCTTGATGGGTATACAATCCACGTTGTACATGTTCAAATCTGAAAGATCCCAAAATTAATAATTTTGTCCAGGAAAATATTTTCTGCGCTTCATTTAGAATTGACTTAGGGATGGGACAAATATGCCGGAACCTGTTCCTTCGCAGCAGTGCCTTGTTATTACAATGCTTACTTAAAGTTAATAACTTTATTCAGTTTACAGAATTGATTTAATAATTGCAGATTAGCGCTCGAGGGTCTAATCGACTGAAACATTTAATACAAAATATGTAAACAATTTGAGGTGCCAAAAACTCACATCTCTAGAAGATGTCACCTGCAGTGTTGGTAAACGAGTGCACTCATCGCTGGTCCGGTTTGGTATTATGAAGTAAAAGCATGTCTGGTCACAACAAAAATTCAAAATAATTGTAAAAAAATACATTAAAACTGATAAACGAAAATTAGCTTGAATGCAATATTTTTCTTGCGATTTGATCTAGTTTCTGCAATAATATTTTATTTCGCCAAGTCTATTTATGTGTGACCATACATTGTGAAATACCGAAATATTATTTTCAGTACTGCGAAGCGTGTTAAAATACCCCTCCCCCCTCCCGCTTACAATCATTGTGTTTTGTTGCTTAAAAAATCTTTGTGCGCTCAAAAAAATGGTCATGGAGTCGGGGACAAGCAGTTCAGAGTCGGGCAGCACATCAACAAGTGGCTCCACCAGCTGCACAGACACGGGCAGCTCCTCGGACACGGATTCCAGCAGTGCAACGCCCGAGGAGAAAACCGCGCCGACAGCACCAGCCTCGAAATCCCAGCAGCAGCAGCCACAACAACAAACATCGAGCTCCACAGCGCAACGCCGAAAGGCGGCAGAAGCAGAGAAGCCAAAACCTTTTGGTTCGAATCTGACCTCCGCTGCGAGTAAAGTGCGCTCCGTGGCGGCCTCCAATCAGCGTTTGACCAGCGATGACGATGACGAGGACGATACGCCGCCGCCTGTGAAGAAAACTGCACGCGCCAACAATACAGGAACAGCCGCAGCCACAGCAGCGGCAGCAAGGCGAAAGCCACCGCCAGCGACTGGTAGAGCAAAGCCGCCACCTGCATCCAGAAGCAATAACCCACCGCCAAGAGCTGCGCCAGTCGCTCGGGCCACAGAGAACGGCGACTGCAAGCGGCCCTCGCTCTCCTCCTCCTCCAACAGCACAGACGACTCGATAAAGGTGGCCAAGAATGGCCGAAAGGTGCCCCTCAAGATGGCCAGCACAGTGCGGGCCAAGCAGGCGGCAGTGCGAGCGAAATTGCCGCAAGTCAAGAAGAATGGAGGAGCGGGACCACCGCCAGTGGCACCACCGCAAATCAGTAGCGAGGGAAGCGATTCGGAGAGCGGTTCCGGCTCCGGGGATGACTCCAGTTCGGGCAGCGACTCGGAGGGCAGCGATTCGAGCAACTCGTACAGCTCCCAGCCCCCCAAGAATCCCAAGGGCAAGCGACCAGTGGTGGGAGGCAAGCCGGCACGTTCGGACAGCGAGGAGGAGCGCAAGGACAAGGCCAATCCCATGCGAAAGCTAACCCGATCGCTGAGCATGCGCCGGTCCAAGCAGCAGCCCAAAGAGGAGACCGACGACTCCGAGTCGGATGGGGATCTCGAGGATGACAAGATGCTGCTCACCAAGAGTCCCGGCAAGAAGCCAGCGCCCTCGATCCTCAACAATGCCAAGAGCAAAGTGAAGAAGGAGGGCGTGGCCATCAGCAGTGGCGTCTTCAGCTCCCTCAAGTCCCGCCCAGTGTCGCCCATCACACAAACGGAGAAGAAGTGCCCCATCGAGGGCTGCGACTCCTCTGGCCATCTCAGCGGCAATCTGGACAAGCACTTTCTGCCCGAGGCGTGCCCCATCTACCACAACATGTCCGCCTCCGAGTGCAAGGAGCGGGCGAATGACAGGAAGCTGCGCAACGAGCAGCGCGTCAAGATGCCCATCAACATTGTGTCGGCGCCTGGCAATCAGCACACAAATCTCAAATCCCTGACGCCCGAACAGCGTGAGTTTCTGGCCAAAATACGAGAATCTCGAGCGAGTTTTCGGCCAATCAATAATAATTTCTTGGACTCAAAGGTGGGTTTACATGCCACAAACTATTTCCTTTCCCTTACACGTTTCTTTTTGCTTTTAGGTTAAGCTTGAAAAAGACTGCACGGACGAGGATCGTGAGCCGAGTCTGACGGGCCTGGTGCCCGACTATGATCTGCAATTGTTTCGCGAGGCCCAGGCTCAGGCCTCCGAGAGAATAGAGGACGAACTCAAGGATCTGCCCGTGGGCAAGGGAATCAAGTGAGTATTTATGTTGCACCCCAAAAGAGACGCACTCAAACCTTTGCCCTTCCAGATACATCAGCATGGGCAAATACAAAATGAAAGTGTGGTATCAGTCGCCGTATCCGGATGATGCTGCCCGCCTGCCCAAGATGTACATTTGCGAGTTCTGCCTGCGCTACCAGAAATCCGAGACGGGCATCAAGCGGCATGCCGAGAAATGCGTCTGGCGGCATCCTCCGGGCGATGAGATCTACCGCAAGGGCAAGCTGCAGGTCTGGCAGGTGGATGGCAAACGCTACAAGCAATACTGTCAGCATCTCTGCCTGCTGGCCAAGTTCTTCCTGGACCACAAGACCCTCTACTACGATGTGGAACCGTTTCTGTTCTACATCATGACCCTGGCGGATGTCGATGGCTGTCACATTGTGGGTTACTTCAGCAAGGTGAGTGCACCAAAGGAGAATTAGCTGTAATAGAAAAGCTCTATTCAGTTTTTTGGTGGAACTTATTGGTGGAGTATTGTATCTATGGATTGCTTTATGGCATCCCAATATACATTTAAGGAAATATTTGTACCTTTACCGTTAGTTCTGTTTCTAATTTTGGAATAACCAAAAGTGCAGTTTGTCAATCTTTGACTTTTAGGGAAAGTTAAGGAAAGGGTTACGGTTCATTTTATTAGTTCGGTTCTTGAATGCCACGAAAGATCAACGAAACATATTTTAGCTGGTTTATAAAGCAGTTGGATCGATTTTTTAATATGCTCCAAGGCTAGAGCCACTTAAGCTGCTTTCAAATAGCTCTAATCTATTTCGCCTTCGATTATACTCATTAACCGTCTAAATTTCCATTTTTTGTACTATAAATTAAGGTATAGTTATCATGGAACATTGCCCGGCTTGCCTATCAATTGAAGAATATATTCTATTATGCTATGAATGATAAAAAGATCTCATTGCAGCTAATGATTGTGTTAAATAATTGTAGAATCTCATTGGTATACACCACCACATTCTTAGATTCTAATTACCCTATTGGGTAAACTTTTAATTCAATGAAATCCAAAGTTGCTTAACATTTAAGTCGATTTCCTCTGTCCAAATCCTATTTTGCTGCTAAAAGCACGCCAAAATCTGTATGTATTTTGAGGTTTCCTCAGTAATTGAATTATGACTGTTTACCCATTATGGAATTAGCTGAGTTATTGCCAAAAGCAACAATTAACTTATTAGGATAATTGTCGATTAAACACCATTGTGAAATTTAGTCAATTAAGTGATGTCATGGAGTGGGTTCGGAATGAAATCTATTATATAAAGAAAACTTTCATTTAATAATTGATTAAGTACAGATTTACCCCACAAAGTTGAACCTCCAAAAGTTAAAAAAAACTTACACTAATTATGCGCCGCAAAAGTTGATTTCCCAAAATTTGTTTGTTGATTGAATATAATTTTAATAGTTTTACCATTGAGCATAGAACTTTCCAATGCTGGTTTTCGTGTATCAAAATTGAATAATAACATTTAACAGTTTTATGAATCCTTTATGTCTGTAGACAGACACCCCACACCCAACAACAGAATCTCCCAGTCCGAATGGCAGCCGCGGCCACAACCCATGTACGGCGGCGGGTACATATGTATACCAGGATCCAGACGTCGTTTGCCTTGACCATGCCCCACCAAAAACAAGATGATATTTCTCTTCTATTACTTGGTTTTTTTCTACCTTTTTTTTTGTCAACCGAACGAAGCTTTTTGGGTAAATAAGAAACAGACAGAGAGGCAGAGAGCGAGAGCGAACGAGAGAGATTTCCCCAGCTTTAAAAATCAGCAAATGGTTTCTTGACCTCCCCCATGGTGTGGCCCCTCTGCAGCTGCCGTCGCTGCTGCTCCCGCTGCTGCTGCAGTTTTACTGCAGAATGCAAAAGTTTTCGGGGCGCTGGCAGAGACTGGGTTTGTGTTACAAATTGCGCATGTCGTTGGTTTTCCCCTCCAAAAACTTGGCGCAGCATCCCCGTTGAATGCTCGGGGATGCAGCTCCGAATTGGAAACATCATCGGAATACACATGGTAAATACCTCCGTTCCTAGTACTATTTAGTTTACATGGCCTGCCTGCGTTGCCCCTCCATTGACGGTGATAATTTTCGGCAATCCTTTGTCCCACAGTTAACCTCCGAGCACTCAGACTCCCAGCAGGTCCAGCAGACAGGCACAGTTCGGGTCCCCCCACCGGTTTTGGGGCAGGCCCAGACAGCAGCTAGACATTGAGGATTGGGGCAAGCAGGCAGTCAGGCAGTCCTCGTGGATGCTGTGCATGTTGGACACGATTGAGGTCGTGCACCTCTGTGCACCAGGGCTCTGCGTCTGCGCTTGGTGTGCCCGGGAGCCCGACTCTATGTGGCTGCGTTACCAGACATCATGGCAGACAAAGAAAAAACGTACAAAACGAACAAAAAGGAAAAATGTAGGAAAAGCATCAAGGAAAAACCCGCAATGTACATAAATGTATATCCGAAATGTTGCCATAGATAGGAGTACAGAGAGCAGCAACCAAAAGAACCAGGTCCCGAATTCACAGATCCCCCCAGCACTCAGTCTCTAAGCTCTCTTTTTTCGGGGAGAAATTGTTGGGGGGATAACTAACTAACTATGTGCGAGTTGTACTACGTTTTCCATTCCATTCATGTGTACATAGTGTACGGCGGAGAGTATATGTCTCCTAGATCCCCTCAACTTGTTGTGGTTCTTTCTTCTGTTCCCTTTCTATGAATCTGCTCTTTCTGTCTCTGTTTTTACTCCAACTCCTGTGCCATGTCTTTGGTTCTTCCTGGCTCTGTTTCGGCTCCTTTTCCCCATCCTTTTCACCAATTTTCCTGCTATATGCGTACGTTTATATTATTTACGCACAGATTCTCTCGCTCTCCCCCTGTCTTACTCTCTACGGTTATAGCCATCTCTTTCAGGCTGCTCTCTCTCCCTGTCTATG